GAAAGCCTCATTCATCTTTATGTACTTGCTACATAATGCATTAACAAAGCAATTATTCTATTGTTTTATCCATAAATTATGTAAAAAAAGGCATTGCAGTTTGTGCATATACGTATGCATTATAACGGTAATTTGGTTCAACCGAGCAAATGAACACGTGCCGCGAAGCGGCGCGTGTCGGCCAATTATTTGCCTGGTTGAGCCAAATTACCGTTATTGTTATTTAAAAATTTGCCGAATAATGGTGCTACCCGACTATTTAATTATACATAGCAATCTCATAAAATGTCCGCGGACACGTGATTTAAACCAATCACGACACAGGATCAGGTGTAACGTGAAAAAAAAACAAACCGTCGGCTTTTTTTAAAAACTCGTCCATAACTCAAAATTTCGACTACAAAACTACTTTCTGCGTCTTAGTAAAAAAAATTCCTTGCAAAATTTTGCTATATACGTCAAAAGTTAATTTTTTGATCGAAAAACGCTGACGATCTGCGGTTTGTTTTGGCAAATGAAATTTTAGCGTAGATCATCACGAGACCGTTTTACAAACTATGATTTGTAGGAGTTGTCTGCTGACTTTTAATTCGAGTAAACGTGAATATTTCGTAACACATGAAAAAATAACCGACAGAAATAAATTCATGATCATAAGAGTTTGTCGGATAACTATTATTATATCCTGGGCAGTTGAGTATAAGTGAAATTTTGCAGTGAGTATAATCGGCCGCGTAAGCGGCCGATTAAACTTTACTAAAAATTTCGTTTATATCCAACTACACAGGATGTAACTGATTTATCCCCTGCCAACTATTTGACATAACTTTCATGTTCTTACTTTAAACGAAACTCTTATTTTACGCACTGTTTTTGACATTTTAAGGATAATACTCAATTACCTAAATTGGATATACTGTATATCTAGTAGAAATAAGTACATAAAAAAGTTACCTAAATGGAGTTGGCCAGGGGATAAAACTACTTATCCGACAAACTCTTATGATCATGAATTTATTTCTGTCTGTTATTTTTTTCATGTGTTACGAAATATTTACATTAAAACTCAGCCGACGACTCCCTACCAATCATGATCATAAATTATCGGATAACACCATTATTCGGCAAATTTTTGAATAATGGTAATTTGGCTCGACCGGGCAAATGATTGGCTGACACGTGCCGCGAAGCGGCACGTGTTCATTTGCCCGGTTGAACCAAATTACCGTTATTCAAAAAATTTTGCCGAATAATGTATACATATTGGTAAATACAGTGAAACCTCTATAAGTGTACACTCTAGGGACCAAACTTTAACAGTGTGTATTTAGAGAACAATAAGAAAAAGAGCATTTATGGAGGTCATCTATATAGTTGGGCCCGAATTTGAATGTGTATTTTGAGGGTGCGTAATTACAGAGCGTACACTTATGAAGGTTTTGCTGAATCAAGAAACATCATTAAAACAGGACAATAAGTGTACGGAATCATGCCTTATATTGCACCCGAAGTTCTAAATGGAGGTTCTTTTTCACAAGCTGCTGATTTACAGTTTTGGTGTCATTCTGACGGTGTAATATAATAAATGGTCTAAGGCAGAAAACAAGAGATGGAACTTCACAATTGTATCTTTCTGTAGTTAATGCATGCCTTGATAGTGATCCATTAAAACGACCAACTACAAGAGAACTAGTTAATGTTTTTGATTTTTATGAAAGAGCATTTAAAAAAGACAATTGTGTTATATCTGAGAAAGTAAACCTTTCATTAAACATTAAAAATCATTTAAAAATGCAGATAAGATTCCATTTGAATCAATTGCAACACATCCGGATGCTTTTATTTTGGTAGAAGCTAGAATATGAAGTTAGGTAGATTTTTGTATTGTTTAATTAATGTATAAACACTTAATCAATTGTTCTGAATTTTTGTTTAATAGTTTCTTATGCAGGCAGTTTTAATATGCCCAATGTTAGAAAATATTTGTCAATTTAAAGAAAAAAAATTAATGATGAAAAGCTTTTCAAATTGATTAGTTAATTTTGTAATTATAAATCTATACTCTTATTAATACAAGGTTTATTTTATAACGTACTTGTGTAATTGACTGAAATTTTAATATTAAAAAAACTTTTATCAAAAAAACGGTATTAACTATTGTCGTACTATTGTAGCAAAAGCAAATTACAATGGTTTATTTTATATATCGTAAACATTATTTTATAAACCTGCGATATACTATACACTATAGTTACACTCCCCTATAATTACGCCATCAGAACTTTTAGAAACTTTATAAAAAATATTCTTATTTGGAGTATGAGATTATTTAGATAATTATTTTATATCTTATTTTTATAGATTTAATTAGGGATGTTATCTGCTTAAAATGCTCAAATCTGCTTTCCATTATTGTTATTGCTAAGAGTGAAAGGTCACAACATACACATAAGAAACAAAGGAGAAATGCGACGAAGTGTCGCTACAACTTCGGGGACGTCATGTAACATTACCCAATGATTATGGCTGAAACTGAGTTAGCGGTCTAAGGCTTTTGTTTAGTTCTTTATTATCTTTATTTTCTAAAGGTCTGGCTTTTGTTTAGTTCTTTATTATCTTTATTTTCTAAAGGCCTAAGAGCTGTTTCTATTACATTTTTTTTCTATGACAAAAAGGGCTTGCTTTTATATCTTTTTACAAGAAGAATAGAAGACAAGGATTCAAAGAATATATCTACGCCATTTCGTTACTCTAGCATTTTTCTCTCCCACTGAAACAAACACACTACATTACCATGGCCACACGCTTAACCCATATTTCCTTGACAAATGCAAGTATCAAGCCAAATCAGGAAGGTGGCTTTTCTTAAGATCCACAGTGCACTATATCAATGGGTGCTTGCGCATACGGTTTGCTGCAGGGGGGTTTTTGTTCGATTTCTGGGTCTTGGCATTGTTTCACGACAATTTTCCTGCGCAACAATCATAGTACATTTGTGCACCGTTTTGTGAAAGTCTTTTTGGGTCTTGGGGCCTTAAATTTGCCTCTAACACTATGAATACTTCTTGATATGTAACTAATTAAACTTATTCATAAACTTTACTTATATAATATAGATATTATCATTTTAATACTTAGAAGGTCGATTATAAAATTGATTTGCCTTAAAACTGCTTGAAAGCAATTACTTGTTCGAGTATGATCTTTTAATTTTTTGCTAATAACCAAACTTGTTGCTAGTGCCTTTTCTAATTAGGAAAAATTAATCCAATTTATTTTTAACAGGTTATTTGAAAATTATTTTATGCTGCACGAAGCAGGATAAGGTCCGCCTCATTTCACCGACACTCATTTCGTAGACACAGCATTTCACCGACAAACAATTCACCGACAAGCTTAATTCACCGACACTTAATTCACCGACAATCAATTCACCGACACTCAATTCACCGACAAACAATTCACCGACACTCAATTCGCCGATACACAATTCACCGACAAACAATTCACCGACACTCAATTCGCCGACACTCAATTCGCCGACACTCAATTCATCGACAATCAATTCAATTCACCGACACTCAATTCACCGACAAAAAATTCACCGACACTCAATTCACCGACAAGCTTAATTCACTAACCTTAAACATAATTCTGGTATAATTACTTTGTCGGTGAATTGAGCTGTCGGTGAATTAAGCATCGGTGAATTGAGTGTCGGTGAATTGTTTGTCGGTGAATTGAGTGTCGGCGAATTGAGTGTCGGTGAATTGAGTGTCGGTGAATTGAGCTTGTCGGCGAATTAAGCTTGTCGGTGAATTGAACTGTCGGTGAATTACAGCTGTTTTCATAAATTCTGGGACACCCTAAAAAAATTTGCCGAGATCTATTCGGCCGAATTCGATAAGCTATTCATTTCGGCGTTACACAACATATATAAATACAGTAATACATACGTAATACTGTATTACAAATCATATCCAACGCTAACGCTAAAATTTTTAATTCGCTAAATATGATACTTTCAAAACACTTCCGTTGGAAAATAGTTGAAAAGAACTTAGAAGGCTTGTCAGTTCGAGTAATTGCTAAGCACTTAGGTGTTAGCAGGTCCTCTGTGGGTCGAGTTCTCAAACAATTTCAAAAGTATGGCTGTGTTGAAGAATTGCCGTCACTTTTAGGTAGAACTCGTTTATTGAATATAGATGACAAAATATATCCAAACTTTAAAGAAAGAAAGATCGGCTTGGTATTTATATGTGGTTAGGACACAAAATTAGTCTTGCAACAATTTGGAGAGTAGTTCATCGACTTGGGTATACGAATAAACAAGTAAGATTTTATACATATCTCTTAAATTGTTTCTTGTACAAATTTGTACTGAAATTTTTTTAAAAGGTTTATTTTTAAAATAAAATTCTAAATATTAATTTTAGCTATATACTTTTTAAGTAAAAAAT